GGGCAGGTCCTGCACCACCGCAATGAAGATGCCGCCACCTGGTGGGACCTCCCCGGGCTCGGCTGGAGGCCGGGGGGCAGGCGGGACCCCGGGCAGGGAGGGGCGCGGCTCCCACTCCCCATCCCCGCACGCACATCTCGGGAAAAAGCCGGCCAGCAGCATGAGCAGGGCTGGAAGGAAAGGATCTGCTGACAACAAGATGCTACTCGTTACCAAAGCCTGTTGGTACTCATCCAAAGCAAGACGGTGTGGAAATGGATAATCTTTGCGGTTTTAGATGTGACTACTAACAGTGGAATACAACACGAATATAAAAAGAAAAGGTAGATAGAAAAACTACTTTCAAAGTCATAGAGAAGCAGGCTGTAAAGAACCAGAAACCCCTCAGAACAGAGTTGAAATCATTGATACAAAAGAGCTGAGCAAGACAGACAACAAACTGCTGGAATAGACAGCTCACAGAAATTGGGCTTTTTAACTGAATTTCACATGATTTGGAGATGCTTCTGCTCAGTGCCCAAGCCACAGCTATTTTTTAATCTCTGCATGACACCACGCACATTACCATGGCTTCAGTCCTGAGCATGAGTCTGGTATTTTCTCAGAGCCAATATTTAAAAGCCTGGAACTCAGGTTTGAGGCAGCCAAGAGATGTTTCTGTCTGGTTGCACAGGGTCTAGGGCTTTTTCTGGAGTTAGAAGCTCTGTCTGCAGATTGATATCCACGAAAAGACATGGAGCCCTCTTAGCCTCTGCCTAAAGAGCCTTCTCCTTCTGCCAGGAGAAAGGGGGGCGAGGAGGGTCATTCCAGCAGTGAGGAATGTCTCCAGACTGCCCGCAGGATTAGAGGACAAGGTGATGAAAGAGTCCACATCCTATCTGCACTCGAGTTTGTACAACCACCATCAGCTTTTAGCACTGCTGCTGAAAGAGAAAGACATTTCCTAGTCCAGATAAGGCCCCAGAGCAACAATGTCTGTTTGCAGGATGAGCACTCAAGAACAGACTCTTCCCCGTGCTATTTTTTACATATTTCAGCAACTCTTCTTTTGCAATTTTAGCACAGGAGCTTTTGCAGCGAGCTTAGAGCAGGCACATCATCAATGAATCTGACAACCCCATCACAGAAGTTTGCCACCTGTTTAGACACAGACTGTACACCAGGCAAAAACCGATTCTACCCCCATCACATGCAACATTTAACACCAATGCTGCGATGCTGGCTTTAGAATTCATTCCTGCAAAATCCATGGATGTTCAGTCAGCCACACCAGGCAATGTAATTGCTCTGTTTCCACAGTTAGCACTGAAAATGCTGTCTATTCAGTTACTGCCCTGCCTCCTCCTCACAAAACCTGTTTCAAAAAGCAGAGAAAAAGACCTTGAAACATGGGTGGATGCTTTGAAAAGTCAGTTATCACTTTTAGAGAGAGGGAAAAAAAGTAAAAAAATCATAGCATTAATCCAGGCAAGACACCTCCCCCCTCCTACCCCTTGCACACATGCCACGAGTCTGAATGGGAGCCGTCACCCAGAACACATGTCGATACATATTTTACAGAAACATTAGTTGTGTGTCAAAACCAGTTCTTGGAAACATCATCTAACAGCACTCACATGATTTGTGTTTCACGAGCAATTAAACCTATCACTCTGACAAGCAAATCTGCTGCTCCTGTCCACTATTCAAACATCAGGTTAGAGGAAACTAATTACATTTCAAACTCCGTCCATGGGTAAGGAAACTGTATTTCCATGATAATGTCCTGGCTAATTCGCTTAAGCAGAAGCTGCTGAACCTCCAGAACACAGAATGAAACAGCCAGCCTTGGAACTAGTGCAGCTAAGGCAGGAAATGCAAAAATAGCCAGACTGTGATTTAGATCTCGTAGTGAAGTCAGACAAGACCTCAGTGTCACACTGAAATCACATCCCAGACATTGTAAAGTCCTACTGTATTCACATCACTGTCATACTGCTGGCAAGCCGCAGAGACCAGCAATGATGGGACTTCACTGCTAAATTCTTTTCTCTCTGCTAACAGATGAAGTTTTACAGGCTCTGCAACGAGACCAGCTCCCCTCACGGCAGTAATTACTTCTTTGGACAGAGACAAAGTGGATGGCACACCACTGCCAAGTAGAGATGCACAGAAATAAACAGCTGTCTGTCTTAAGTGGCTGCTGAGCTCTTTTTCTTTAAAATACATGCTTCCACTACTAGGGACACCTTTCAGACAGTCACCTTTCATTTGGAACAACACCCCTACGCAGCAGGTCACATTCACTGAGACACGTGGAAAAGAAATGCAGTGACATCAAAAGTTGTATTTCTCACCATGCCAGAAAACGCTTCTCCACTTTTCATGTGCTCGATATTCCTTCCCTCCCCCAGCCATTCATGGTGAAATAATTAGTGTTAGTGTTCTCATTGTTTATCAGACAATACAGACAATAAGGCTAAGCTTTCTGCTCCTGTTTTCTTTCGCTATGCTGCTGTGGTTCCTCAAACAACTGTGCAAGGCTTTACTTTTAATCCTATGAATAACACTTGTCACTCATAGGTTTGTAACCCATATTTAGCTGTGCACAAACACAGTGCACATGGCACAGTTTCAGCTTGATTCATTGTCCGCAAACTTCTCCAGATGTGCTCATGCAAGAAAAAAAAAAGGCTAATAAACAGGAGGAAACAAACAAATACTAGCTAATCCGATTGCAGTTTCTCAGGGAAGGAGAGAAGACACTAGCACATCAGATTCTTTATGAGGGAGAGGGATAATGAGTTGTTTTTAAACACAGACTAGGAATAATTAGTTATTGTCCTTGGGCTACAAGATGTGTTTTCATGTGCTTGAAGTGTATGGTGATTTTTATAGCCTGTGAGCTAGCCGGGCCCTGTCACACTGAATTTTTTCCCATTTATCTACACGTTAACGTCAAACTACAAGCACATCACAACATATGACTTTATCAACAAGCAATGTTCTTCACTGTGGCTAATTTTGAAACCACATTCCTGCTTCCACTCATGGAAGATACAACCTTGGGTAACAATCAGATAGGCTGGTGCCAGACATCCTCTTCTTAAGTACATTCTCATTTTACCTTCAGAAAGTATTCTCAGCAAACAAACAATCTGAAGACAAATGGCTTTCTTTGGAACTCCTCTCGACAACAGCAGAGAGATATTTTTGCATAAGGCTGCATTTTATAGTCCCAGCTCTAGGCTGGGATTAAGAAAAGCAAGGTAGGCAAGAAGCAGCAAGCTAAACACGGTGCAAACTACTAAAAATCCCAAACTTCTATTACAGTTAATTCTGCTAACTATAACTTTACTCATTGATGCACCAGACAGAAAGCAGACAGACAACCTCATCCCACTGCACCAGCTTTTCAAGCTTCCAAAATAAACACAAAGGTCTTTGAACAGACCATGCTCTCCAGAAAACCTGCAGCCTGATCTTCCACATTTGATATGTGTGAAGGCTCAGGCTGGTGGTACTCACAATAATTACCTGCCATCAGCCAAGAAATGCAGCAGAGTTGTTGCAGATAACTTATTCATGTCATCGTTGTGTTCCAGGAATAATGCAACCAGTAACAGATCAATGACACAGGTAACAGAGAGCATTTGCTTCTAGTTTTACGGGTCAGGGAAAACCTGGACAATCTCGTTGGGATTCAGGACAGGGGAGAAAGATGAAAGGGACAATCACCAGCATAAGACATGTTAAAAAATCGCAATAAAAAAAAGTGTTTTTACAGGTTCTCCATCATCACAGAAACATGGAATGATTTGGGTTGGAAGGGACCTTAAAGATGGTTTTGTTCCAACCTCCCTGCCATGGGCAGGGACACTTGCCACTAGACCAGGTTGCTCCAAGTCCCATCCAACCTGGCCTTGAACACTTCCAGGGAAGGGGCAACAATAATAATATCAGACAATGGTAACATGTGCACACACCAAAACCTTTCCGAGGCTGGACCATCAAATTTATTACAGGAGGGAAAACAAAATAATGCCTGCAGTACTCTTCGGTCTGAAACGTGGGAGTAATTATCCTCAGATTACCAAGACAAACAAAAGGGAGAGACAAGGAAAAGATAAAACAGAATTTCCACTATTTAGGTGCTGATCGAAAGATAAAATCCGACTGCACTTCAGCTGGGAGCCTAAACAAACCCGAGGCCCGGCCACATAAATCAAGCTAATTTACAAAGGTTACATACCAGGGAGAGTTTGACAAAGAAGGGGAAACAACCCCGCGTCCTGCACTGCTGAAGATCCTAACATCCTTTTTATAAATTATAAAGGTGCCAATGTAACACAGACCAGTCAGTCTGGGGCGACGGGACCCACGGTATCAGCACCTCCCAGGCCTTTAGCAGCTCATTAATACTAATTAGATCCGGGAGTGCTCAGCCCTGCCGGCACCCGCATCCCGGGCACACATCCTGCGACTCGGGGCACACAAAAGCTTTGGACACGGATCCCAGCACCGGAGCATCCCGCACCTCGGCAGAGGGGAAGGCGTGGCGGGGCGAAGCCGGGGCTGCGGGAGCCCGGCGGGGAGGGGGGAGGCAAGGAGCCGCGGGGAACGGGGAGCTTCGGCAGCGGGGAGAAAAAGAAAGGGAGAAAGAAGTTGGGGCCGAGAAGTTTTCCGCCGCCGGCGCCCCTTACCGTAGACGCGGACCCAGCCCTGCTGCTGGCACACCGACTCCCGCAGGACGCGGTCCAGCGCGCTGCCCGCCTCCAGCTCCTCCGAGCCCGGCTCCGGCTCCGCGAAGGGCTCTGCCGCCCATGCCGCCGGCTCTGCCGCCGCTCCCGCGGCCGCCTCCATGCTGCCGTGGGGACGAGGAGGCGCCGCCACCGCCCGCGCTGCGCCCCGGCCCCGCTTCGCCTTAGTGCGGCTCCATCCCTCCCTCCCTTCCTCCCTCCCCCGGCCCGCCCCTGCCCGCCCTCAGCGTCAGCGCGGGCGGAGCCCCGCTGCTGCCTGCCCCTGGCCTGAGGGGAGGCGGGCGGTGGCGGGCGGTTCTGCCCCTGCTGCCCTCAGGGCCGCCCGCGGCCTTTTCCGCGGCCCCCGCCTGCCCCGAGGCCGCCTCGCTGCGCGGGGCTTCGTGTGGCAGCCCGGAGGGGACTCAAGATGGTTCCTCCCCTCAGCCCCGCGGCGGGAAGGGAGCCGCGAAGGAATAGAGATCGCGATAGTCCGGCTGGGGCCGCATGCCTCTCACCGCGGCCCGTTCCCCAGTAACGCCGCAGCAACGCCGCGATGGTGGGGTTGGTCTCAAGCAGCGGCTGCCGTGCGGTTCCCCAGGCTCAGAGCTGCGCTCGCACGCCTGACCGAGACTGATAAATCTTTCATGCACTCACACAGGCTGTTTCTCTCAGGTACATGAGGAGATGTGCTGCAGGGAAAGGAGGGCAACTGGATTGATTTAAGTGCGTTTCATTTAGGGGATTTGCGGGCTGGTTTGTCCTAAATGTCTATTTACCGAGCTCCCCCAGTACGCCATGTTTCAGTTTTCTATTTCCCTTTTGTATTTTGGTGAATTTCCCAGTGCTTAGGGTACATGCTCTTTAAAAGTCTAGAATAGAGCAGCTGTGAATGAAGCATGCATCCTGCAGTGTCGTTTAAATCATGGCGTTGTGACTTGAATTTTCAGGGAAGGTGGGCAAAGGGATTCAGCTTACTTTGGTTTCCATCCCTGTAATCTCTTGGACTGAGTCTGCGCCTGTCCATGATCAATATGAACTGCGTGGGTTCAGCCCAGCACTCAGATCCAGTGATTATCTCCACTAGCACAGGCTGTTTCCAAGGGCTCACCTCTGTACACAACTTAGAGGCACTAACAGTTTTTTCTTTATTGAAAGAACAGTTGATTTAGTGTGGACCTGTAGCAGTTATGCTGCCATAAAGCTGCTTTAAAGTAGATAACAGCTCCCACACCTTCTAAACACACTTCTGTCATCTTGTTTTGTTTTGCAGCAGAGCAGAATAAGAGGGTTTACACGGCAAGTTGTGGCTGAAGGACAGCAGCTTCACTTAGAAAGGGAGGACTGCAACTCTGTGAGCTCTGCAGCTTGACAGGTCCCAATCCATTGCCTGGACATGAAGGTTTGTCTTAGGAGTTTCCAAAAGCTCCTCTTGGGAGTGAACAGTGCCCTCCTGATCCAAGTGAGTTGGAGTACCTCACACCACATAGCTGTGTCTGTGATGGAAGCTGCATTAACTGTTTCACTGGAGGAAAAAAGTCCTGCCAGCCCCATGATTAATTGATGAAGCCTCATTTCTGTGAGTTTCTGTCTCATGCTTGACTGGGAGCTTGACCTGAATCTTGCCCTACAATTGGGTCATTCTCTACCCAGCTGGGAGAGAGCAGGATGAGTTCTGCCATGGTGGGCATATGCACCCTGCTGCGATTTCCAGGCTGAGTTGGAAAATGAAGAAACCTCCTTCTTCCAAATGTTAGGTTGTTTCATGATTGGCAGAACTGCTGTAGTCCAGTTTCCTACAGATTCATACCTTGCAGAGGGTGAGCACCCTCAGTGAAGAGGCTTGTAGGATATTACTGACCAGGATTAGCTCTTGGACCTTTATCCCTCTGTTTTGTTTAAAACAAACCGGTGAATTCAGCACTTCCTGAGCTTGTAGGAGGTAAGAGACAGGACCAGGGGAAAGAAAGATCCAGTGAGTTTAATGGTGTCAGTCTCAATTCTATGGGAAAAAAAAGGTCTTGAAAACTACCCTTTTAACCAGGAGGAGTTAAACCAGGATGAAATCTGGCAAGAATTTGACCCTCCACCACTGTGAAAGGGGTGATTCTGCACAGAAGGAGCAGAACTGGGACACCCAGTAACATTTCCTTGCTCCTTCCCACCCTAAAACATGTTCTGCAGCGTGGTTTCCAAAGTTCTGGGACTTGAGGGTGTGCAGGATACTCCTTCCAGAGCAGACATCTGCATAAATTGCCATAATAATAATACTGTAAAGCAGTAGGAAAAGCAGTTTTTCCCTCCTACGTGCTCTCTACCCCTGCTCATTCCCAATGCTCCTGATAATATAAAATGTACATATTCTCCCAGTTCATCATTTTGTGGCCACAATCCAATAAACTCCTCAAAGTTTTCTCCTCCTGCTCTCCCCACAGCCCCCTTCTTGCCTCCAGCCTCCCAGAGACATCCCCATCCCTCACACGAGCCTGGGCTCTTTCCCTGCTGCAGGAAACTCGCACAAGCAGACACGGGGGGAAAAGGGGATGAAGCTGCTTTGAGAAGCAGGAGAGGAGCTGGCCTGTAGTGAGGGAAGGATGTGGCTGCTAAGCTTCTGCCAAAAGTGGAGATTTAAAAAGCTGCCACACAATGCTGGGACAGCGTTTACGCAGGAGCGGCTCAAGACAGCAGCAACTGGTTCCCATCAAGTGAGGACTGGTTGTATCTGCAAGTATGATCAAGCCATCCTAACAGCAAGGTCTGGAAGGACTGGCTAGTGTGGTTTCTGAAATTCACATGGCAGCAGAAGACAAAATCCATTCTCCAGCCTTTATTCATGGGGTTCAGGGCAACATAAACAATAATAAAGAGTAGGGATGACTAAAATGGGAAGGCTGGTTTTGCGGGCATGACAGGAGCAAAAATAGACATATTTTATAAATAAAGATGTCCTGGAAATTAGAGACTCCCAAGTTTCATGCTCACCAGTTCAGCTGTTCTGGCTGGGGGTCCTCTCCACCAGTAGTGCTCAGGGGATTTGTGAAGGCATAAATGAGCAGTAATATAAGCACATGCATGAGATTCCCTTCGTGTAAACCAGCCTCATTAGTTGATCGACTTGGGGATGTCATTTTAACCAACAGACTCTAGTTAAATTAGAGCTGGGGGTTTGCTCAGAATAGGTTAAATCCAAGTATTTGAAGAGAGCTGCACATGTATTTTCATTAAGCCCAAGACTGCTGTATGTGTTGTTAAAGAACTCAAAGTACACCAGTGTGGCTTGAGAAAAGAAAGCTTTTGAGCTGACCTTCTTCCAGGAGAATGAATTCATGTCTTCAGAAGTGAGCAAGCCTCACTTCAGTGATCTTATCTCAAAAAAAAAAAAAAAAAGGCAATAAGAAAATGAGAAGAGACACGGAGGAGGGCGGTAAGGACAGTGGAAGTGATGGGATAGATACCATATGAGGAGGAAAGACTAGAAAAACAAGGAGACTCCAGTGTGGAAGAACAAAACCTTGGGGCAAATAAAGACAGAGAAGTCTGGAGAGGTCAAGAGAGGTCTGGTATGGACCTGGAATTCTTTTTCCCTTTTCTTCACAACACAAGAACATGGAGAGAAATGTTCAGGAGCCAGGTCTCAAGCAGACAAAAGGAAGTACTTTTTCACACAACACATAATTACATTGTGGAACTTATTGCCACAGGATGTCATGGAGGCCAAAAGTATAAATGAATGAGGAAAAAAAAAAAAACCAACAAAAGGGATTACACAAATTCATGCAACCTCCGGCTTAGGAAGTCCCTCAACTGCTGATTACCAGGAGCCAGGAGGAAATGCCAGAGGAAGGATCACTTTATACTCTCCCTCTTCCGATATCCCTTCCTAAGCATCTGCAGCTGGCCACAGCCAGGCCCTGGTTGCTGCTCAAGGTGGACGTTTATTCTGAGACAGTTTGACAATGTTTAGATCCTCCTGGGAACTCCCTTATGGATGGAGCCTTAGGGACCAGAGGTGTCTCCTGGAGAGATGCAGGACTGACCCCTAATTTTGTTACCTGCAGCCCGATGCGGTCACAGCAAAGTCCGTGGTGGCCACTCTTTGCTGATTTAGGCTGGTGTAATTGAGGCCAGATTGAGGCCTGGAACCTTCAGAGAGACTCTTCCGCTTTCCCTGCCCCTGGGATTAAGCACTGAAATCTCTGTGCTAAAACCCTCTTTGAACGGGGATGGCAGATAATGCACAAACTGATTAAAAAAAACCCCCAGCACTGGGGAAAGTTAAATATTAAAGAGCCAAGGCCCAGTTTTAACTGCTGCTGCCGTCCCTCCTTCGTCTCGTGCCAACTGCCTCCAGGATACATGTGCTGACACTGAATTTCTACCTCACAAAAGCGGCCGCAGCATGGGCTTTAAAACTCAGTCCATTAATACTGGGATAGGAAGCAGAAAAATAGAACAAAGGCAGCGAGGGACTCCTCTGGTTCCCTCTCTGACCATGCCCAATCCATCCTTGCAGCATCACAGGGCATGGTACCCCTACCCCAGTGAGGCATTTTGCCCCTCTGACTTCCCAACATTAGTTGGTTGAAAATATTTTGCTGCCTGCTTTGCCCTGCTGTAACTAAACTATAATTTTCACTAGCAGAGAGGAGGGATTTGGCAGAAACATCTGGTCTCATTTCATCAGGATAACAGCTCCGTCTCTATTTATACACGCGCCGGGATGGTTGTGGCTCTCAGCTGTTCTCCTCCCGACAGTCCCTTTCAAGCTGCCGTGTCCTGCTCTGTTGGGGCAGGCACCGGGTCGAGGCCAGCCCTGCTGCCACGTGAAACAGGAACCAGGCCCAAAAATGTGAGCTTGTGAGAGCTTGTCCCCTCCACACCTGGGGCTTGCTGTCTGCCACGCTGGTGACAATGTGCTTTGATGGATGGTTGCTCCTGTCCTTGTATCCTGCTGGGAAGAAAACAGGGAAAACCCATCTGACTAGACAGTTTGCTGGAACTGGATGATCCTTAAGGTCCCTTCTGACCCAAACCATCCTTTAACTGAAAAACAATTTTCTTGGTAATCCCAGAGACTTTGCTGGTCAGGGATCGGGCTTGCAATGGGTCAGCCTTATTGGTCTGAATACACCAACCTCAATAGTCTGAATTTTTCTCTGAAATCACAATGTGGATTTTGGAGGAAAGCTCAGACCATTGAGGAAAGACCAGCCAGCTCTGGCTTTTCTGTAAGGTGTTAGCAAATAAACTGTGACCCTACAGAGACACGGGAAGGTCAGGGACTCTGCTTGGGAAGGCAGCACGTCCTACTTAATTCACCAGAGTGGGAAAAATCCACTCTGCTGCCTCCCCTCCAGTGCACACGAGACATCACATCTCATCCAGCATGTTTAAAAAAACCCTCCAGTCAAATGGCCAAGTACCTGGAAAATTACCACGTAGCACATTCAGCAGTGCAAGTCACCATCTGAGAGGAGTGCTCATACCCCAAATGTGCTGGGGTGTGGGTCAGCATTAATCATCTCAAGCAAGTCTATCCCACTGCCCCCTTTTCCCTCAAACAGGCTGTGCCTCTGCTCCCATCCCAATCCACTTACAGCCCCACGTGCCCCCGACACACAGCTATTTCAGCATCACTCCCCCTCCTGTTTTCAGCAGCTCTGGACTGTTCATTAATTATTTTCTTACACTCAGCTGCTGAAGGAGGAACCACTTGGAGACACGGGGTTTTTGTAACCCAAATGAGACCAGCGTTTTCAGATGCTCCTATTGATTGTACTAAGGTTGCAAACTCCCTGGAGCAGGGTTGAATTTCACCCTGCATTTATACCCTCTGATGTGATCCTGCCCCTTCAATATACTCCTTCAGAACGCTCTTCTCAGCTGTGACCTGAGGTTGAGTAGATCAATATTTGTTTACTCAGCTTGGGTCTAATTTTCATATGTGCTGGGTAATCCAAGTCCACCTGAAAGCAGCAGAAAGGGCCATTCCTGCCTGTTGTGTGAATCAGACTGAAATGTGGACCCTGCCTGAAACACCAGCCTTTTGGAGCAACTTGAGGCAGGAAATATGACTCAGTCTTGGGAGAACACCATCCAAATATAAACCCTGGTGATGCTGTGGATCGTTCGGGCTAAGGGGTCACCAGCTGAATGCTTGTGAGCTCTTCACTTCCATGACTTTTCTGGCTGAGAAACATTTTTCTTCCTCATTTGAGTCACTCCTTTTGTGGCACATCAAATATTTTTTCAAAATGTGTCAGAAGTGCACCAAACCAGCCAATTTCTATGTAATTGCTGAGTTCTCTCAACCTAAGCAAAACTATTCAGAGGAGACTAAGGGAGCAACCTGAGATAATTGCACCTTGTCCTTCCAACGGGATGTTCTTAGGGTGAAATGTGCCTTCATCCCAACTCATTTATAAAAAGCAAAGGTGAAGTCATATGCAGCATTAAATAAAGTTTTTTTTTTCCTTCCCCATGGGATTTGGAAATGAGGGAAATGAAGAAAGGCTGGTGCTGGCATAGAAAGGTCTGATTTTGGAACTTTTCTTTGGAAACAAAGCTTAAGGAATGGCTGGATTTGGCCATGCCAAGGTACCTGAAGTCTGATTAAAGGCTCTCACAAGTCAGCACAGAACCCTTGTTAAAGAAGGTGGAGGTTCCTCTCTGTCTGCTGGAGCTGCTCAAATCCTCTTCCATGACAACACATCCCCTCACCTTGCAGGTCAGGAATATCCAGACATAAAAAATCCTTCAGCCTGTCAAAAACAGTCAGCTGGCTTTAAAGCCCAAATGGCTTTTTCTTTTTTAAATTTCTCCTTTCAGTAGTGGATTCCTGTCTGCTGCTGCCCTGACTTTAAAACAAAATAACCAGCCTCCAGCAACCTTCAGAACAGATCTGTGAAACTCTCCAACTGACTATAACAAGCAAAGGCAAGACTGTGACAAACCTGCCAGCTTTCTCTTCATGGGCTGGATCATCTTCAGGGAGCCCAGGACTGGCATTTAAAATTGTAGCCTTTGAACAGGTCCTTTTTTTGGAGATAAAGCTGGTCCCCAGGACACCGGGGAGGTGATGCAGCAGATGCTGTGATGAGTCAGTGCAGAAAAGATCGTGGGATGGACACGGGGTCAGTGAAAGGCTGCACTTACTGGACTGTAACTCAGCCAAAGAGGTTTGGGTTTTGTCTTTGAGCAAGAAATGAGGCCAGTAATGATGTATTTGTCTCTATTTTCCCTCTCAGGCTCCCAGTTAGATGACTTGGCTTGAATTTTGAGCAAAGAGTAATCACTGGATTTATCTCCATCTCTAGAATCATGGATTTCTTTCTCTGGGCTGCCTGTATTACAAATGTAACCAACTTCCCTCTGCTGTATTTTTGTTCTCCCTTGCCCAAACAGATTCGTTCCCTTCCTTCACTGTTGTGAGCAGAGGCAGATGCAAATAAATAGGCACTTGTGCTCTGTTGTGTGGTTACCTGGAGAGGCTGTTTGCAAACAAAGGCTGTACCAGCACACAAATAACCTGGCTTGGTGTAGCCTGGAGATGCCTCTTCATTACAGACACAGCCCTGGGGTTCTCCACGCTGCACTGCCACATTTACCACGGCATCATTCACCAAACAGGAGAGATCAAGAGCACTGTGAGATGCTGAGGCTTCAGAAGAAAGGAGGAGCAAACCCCTCCTCTCCCCTCCCAGTCCAGCAACCCATTGTTCCCTGAGATGTTTGAATAAATAAAGGAAAAACTGCTCTGGAGCTTTTAATAGCTCTCACACACACAAATACAACATCCAGCCTTCTCCTCTGTCCTGTGAGCAGACCCTGACAGTTGATGCACATTCCCCTGCACCACAAACAGGAGCTTCTCCTGGTTTTACAGGGCATGGATGCCAGTTTGGGGAATTTTTTCCTGGACCACACAAAAGTGCTTGACTGGAGCTGCCAGCTCTCAAAGCCAAGTCCAGCCCTGTGTCCCACTGTGAGGGCACCTGCAAAGATGCTGGGTTGGAGATGCATCCCTGCCACTCACCTGTGAACCTCCTGGGAGCAGAGCTTATCCCACAGGCCACAGTGGGTCCTGGTCCAGGAGCAGGCATCACAGTGACATGGATGAGATACTCAGTCCCTGTTAAAAACACAGAGATCATTAAACCTTTCTGCTGATGCTTGTGGTTGTCCGGGCCATGTTTAAAATACGATGTAGGAACCCCAGAAATGGGCTGCACAAACCAAAACTGAGTCCCAGTGCAGGAATGGTGGGAAAAGGCTGTGTGGTGCTGGTTTAGCTCTTAGCAGCCCTAAGAGTGCAATCAAGATGTAGGATTGTGAGGAGGAGATTTAGGACAGTGATTCAGAGGCAAGCTGAAAATCACAGAAACATCTTGGGCACTTGAGAAGAAGCACCTGAACAGCTACACCTCCACTGAGCACAAGGATTTAAGCACATGACAAGAGCCACAATGAGAGCTGTGATGTAGCTTTGTGTTTCTGAGCAGTGTTCTCTCCTGAGGAGAAGGTCTGGGCTCCCTTAGTTACCATGTGACCCTCAAATCTCAGTTCTCAGGTCTTTGTTTTTCCTGCCAGGATTTCGATGCTCTCTCTCAGTGGGTGAGAGAGTACTAACCTACCTGGCTATTTATTTTACCTCCAGGAGGTACCTGCTGCTCATACTGTGCCTACAGGGTGTTTACAACATCAGATATTCTACCCAAGTCAATTAAAATTGTCCCAGGAAAAAAATGCAGCCATGCTTTTCAAGGAATAAAGCAGGCAATTTGGAGCACAGGTAACAGCAGTGCTATCCATACAGGAGGGGAGAGACTCCTGAAGGTGTTGAGGAGACTGGAGCAACATTCAGCTGCTGCAGCACAGGAGAAGACCAGCAGCACAGGATGGGACTCTTTTTACAGTCCCTATTCTTCCCTTAACTACAAGCTTAAGCGATGGCTAATAAAGATGATCCAAAACAAATAAATTGAGATGCTGCTGTAATTAAGTGGCTTTTGCTGCATGCAGTGAGCCAGACCCATCTGTGTTGTAGTTCAGCAGAAGCCAGGAGGGTTCCACGAGGGATTAATTCCAATTGCATCTGAGCTGCTTCAAAGGTGGGGCTGACCGTCCTGTTTGCTACACTGCTAGCCAAGAAGCACCATTCTGTCCCCCAGACAGTGGTCCTGGGCAGGGGCACGGTCATTCACAGACATTCAAGTTGGTTACATCTGCCTTCGTGGCAGGTACATTCAGGTGAGACCTTCCTTGCTTAAGGGAGGGAAGCTGGAAGCTGGTGGGAAGCAGCATTTGTTCCTCTGGGCAGAAAACACCACAGCAATGACACTTGGTGGCTGTGCCCCTGCTTTTTAATCAGGGCTGTACAGCAGAGACAAGGAGCAATTACTGCTGGCTGTGTGCTTATTTGATGGATGAAACGAGCTGACAGACTCCCTGTGGCAAAGCGCAGCAAAAGGCTTTTCAGGTTGTCCACTTGAGCTCACAGGTGAGGGCTGATGCCTGGCAAGGGCAGATGTGAAGGACAGTGTACACAGAGCCCACGCCGTGACTGCCCTGCAGATGTACAGCTGCAATTGCAGGAGCCTGGGCTCCCAAACCATGGCTGGTGCTCCCACAAGCCTCCACTGCCCAGATGTGCAGTGCCCACTCCTCTCTGCAGGTACAGCCCAAAATGTTTAGGGTTTCCTGTGCATGAGTGAAGATTTTTGCTTGAGAAATACTGAGCATCTGGGAGCTGCATTGGGTATTTTTCCTCCCACCTCTGTATTTTCTATGGAAGTGTAGTCTCAGCACTTCTATGACCACAGCTGATATTTTAAAATCCACTTGCCCCAGAGAAGAGGCAGTTCATGGTCCTTTTGCAGGATTCCAATCCAAGTTGTGCATGACGTCTAGTAACAACCTGGTATATCTAAAAATGGTACCAGCACTCAGCTTGAGTCTGCTCCCCTTCTCCTTCACGTCACCACGAGGCACTAGGGCTAGTGGTCATGACCTTAGTAAGAGAGGCAGTCTCTCTACTAAAATATCACCTACTGGAGCTAATCCTTGAAGGACAAAGGGGATACACAGAAAATCTCACACCCGTTCAGTTACTGTGCATCCCGCTCTAAGCACAGGGCACAGATCCTGTGTCTCACTCCCATTTGCCCTTTAGAGCTCTTGCAGGATTTTATGAGAGGAGTTCACCTCTCTTCCTGACTCTGAGTGCCAGATAAAAGGGTGCAAATGCGCTGCTTCACTCCAGATAAAGACGCACAGGTGGTGTGATCACCGCTGCCAGCCGGGAGCTGCCAGAACAATCAGCCAGCCAAGTTTACCCCACACCTGGCATGACACGGGCAGGAGAGCCACGTTGGCACAGCCACACCTAACCCCAGCCTGGCTCTCTGTCAGGCAGCTGCTGTGTGGGGCACTAACTGCTGGGTGGGCTCTGGTCTTCCTTGTAGGGTCACAGCTGTAACAAACAGCCACTCTGATTTCTCCACTCCTAAACTTTTTTGTCTCATCATCCCTCCCCCACATGCATTCCCATCTGCCTTCTGGACAGAGAGTTATTATAAGATGTTTCAGCCCAAGAAGGACATTATTTTCTCTGAAATAGTTTTCTCCAAAAATCACGCGCAAGAGGCAGCGCAGCTTTGGGAGTGTGGGATCCCCCGAAGGGAAGGGACAAAGCTGTGGTTAAACTGTGGGGTGGAGAGTCAGCAGATCAGGGTTCTCATCCCCTGGCTCTGTGAGCTCTGACTCAACCCATGGCCCCTGAATGTTTGGCTTCCCCTTTGGGAAAACCGGTGTGATGACACACTGTGATGGCATCACACAGCCTATTTTTTACTGCTGGGAGCCAACACAGGCTTCTGCAAAGGCACATTCTCTCAAAAAATATATAAAAAATAAAAAATAATTCTAAAAAAAATCAAGCTTTTGGAAGCCAAAATGCTCCTCTGCAAAGTTTTCATCTGGTGTGGTTCACTGAAGCTGCAAAGATCTACTTAGATACTCAGTATTTTTATATTTACCCAATATTGAAAGCACCAGTCAGAGCTCAGTCCCCTGGGGATGCACAGCTGTGTCCTGGGGTGCTGTGCTGGGAGCAGGACTGTGAGGAGCTGCAGTGACCCTGTTGCCTCTCAAGTCCCTGAGGCTGGGAGAGGGCATCCTTTCTTTTTTTCTCATTCTCTTTTCCCTGTCATTCATCTCTCTCCTTCAGTACCTTCTGGCTCCCCCAGCTGTGCCTGCAGCTCAGCTCCACTGCAGAGCTTCCATTGCTTTCCCCCTAGGCTCAACACTGGAGATCTTTGCTCCCATACCAACATTTGGAGCATTCCAAAGATGCTCCTTGGCTTCAGTTGTAAGAGCTTCATGAAACACTGCCCTGGCAAGAGCATGGTGGAATCTTCCCTCTTGCAGGCTCTTGTGTTCATCCTGGGACAAACCTCCTGAAGAAGAGATGCTCAAGGCTACCAAACTGGCAAAGCTTCTGGTCATTTGGGATGCCCCATGCCCTCCTCTGCAGCCCCACAAAGTACAGTGATCACTGCAAAGACGTGTGTGACACTTATTGGGTCACTGAGGACCCTTACACTGGGGAAGTAAATCAAGTCATGTTTGTCAAGGCAGCTTGTACCTGCCCTGCCTGTCTTTGCTGTTCCTCTGCTCCCCTCTTTCAGCTCCAATCATCTCTCCCTCCAGCACTCCCTTCACTTTGGATCTCTCCTTCTCCCCTCTACAAACACTGACAGGGTAGTGGCACCAGCTTCACACCCTGGAGAAAGCCCTGTTCTGGGAATTTGATTGTGCCTCTAGCCCCCCTCTTCAAACCCTCTGCCCTGTCCATTTGCCTTGAAAACTTCCTTAACATGAGAACCTGCTTATTTTTTATAGTATTTGAGCAACAGCTTACAACATCATAAGCCCTGTTTT